TCCGCGAGATTCCACAATCATTCTCTCAGGTCCTCCAGTCTCGCACCCCCAGCTGTCTGATCCATTCGGCCCCCATCCTGGGCAGTCCACGCCGGCAGCCCCCTCGTGCCCTCTTTCTGCTTGTAAAGTCTTTCTTTCCGTCCTGGTCTTCTCATTGTTATTCCTTCTCCAGCCCGCCCTCCTCGGTCCAGGGCCTCTGGCCTCCTGGCTGCTCCTCCCACCAGACCCTCCACCTGCAGTTTCCGGGCACTTTCTCTGGCTGTGCCCCGGCCCACCTTCAGTTAGCTCTGCCCAAGCCTACTGCACCCGTGTTCTCCCTCATCTCCAGGTTATCCCGTGTATAACTCGGTGCCCAATTGTTTGTGGGTCATCTCCGCCACTAGGCTGGGGGTTTCCCAAGGCAGGGACTCCGGTTCGCCTCTCTCTGTCTCCTCAGTTCTTAGCACAGCGCCCCACACATAGTAGGTGCTTCATAAATACATGTTGACTGACTGGCAGGTGACTTTGAGACGTTGTAAACCAGTGGTGTCAGACTCAAATAGAAATGGGGATGGAGTAATCCACCCCAAGGGTTCCTGCAGGCCGCATGAAGTGTGAGATTTTCCATGTTTCTTTGTATCTTTATTCGTTGTGTTGAGCGTTTCCCAGTTCCGTTTTAACCCCCCACTGCCCACCAAGTGTCTTGTCATACCCAGCCGCCTCTCACCCCGGGGCCCTGCCCGCGGCTTGGCGCTCTCTTCCCGGGGCTGCATCTGGCCGCAGGAGGCTCCCTCCCCCCTCGGGCTTGTGCCTTCTTCCCCAGTCTCTGCCTCTTCGCCATGAGAACGCCCAAGGCATTGATCGATCAGGATGCTCTGTGACTCCAAAGGCTCAACCCACTTTGTTCGTAATTGTATTTGTGCCCCAGAGGGCAGAGATGCCCTCTTTATCTCGGTGTCTCCCCCAGCTCTCAGCGTGGCCTTTTCATCGAGTGGGCACTTACTTTGCGTTCAGCAGAGAGTCCTAAGGCCTGTCCCCTTCCCGTGGCTGGGGGGTTGTGTCTGCCCCCCTCTCCTTTGCTCTCCTTGCTGGGCAGGAGGCTTGCTTTAGAGACAGCGCTGTGGGAGGGCCCGGCCCTACCTCCTTCCCCCCCATTCCCCTATCCCTGGGTTAGCGGCTTTTCCCCAGCCTGGGCAGCGTGACGGGCTGGCAGCGAGGGGCTGGTAGTGGGAGAGCAGACTCGGAGCATGGGGTTAGCCACCGCTGAGAGCTGGGCATTCTCGAAAGGAGCCTGTTTGTTCAGGCTCTGAAGTGTGACGGTGCGAATGGCGCGTTTCGGGGGGATCCCACCCCAAGGTGCAGTTTCCAGTGGGCTCCCTTGTAAAGAGAGCCTGGCAAGCAGCCTGCCCCGACGGCCATCTTCCCCCTGCCGTGGCCCCTCTTGGCTTGTGGCTCTCCCTGGGGGGCCATGGAAGGCTGCGGATTCCTGAGCTTCTCAGCTCCCATTTTCTCTTGGCTCTACCTGACAATGTCAGGCATTCATCTTACCCTTTAAAGACCTCACTGGGCATGGTGCAGTTTGCTTGGTTAACCCCCTGAAAAAAGAAAGGACCTGGTAGATGGAAATTCACGTTTGGGGGTGATTTTCAGCAGACAGCTTTTTTGCTGGTTCTTCTGTGATTCACCTTGTGGTAAACGGGTGGTAGTGGCATTGAGGCCAGCGCTGTCCTGGGCTCTAGCCCTCGGAGGCCCTCCTCACTTAGGGAGGAATGAGGTCGATGCCCGGTGATGCCTGGGATGGGAGACGGGGGTTAGTTCAGCAGTCCCCGATCAAAAAGGACAAAGTCCGAAGCATGACACGTCTCTAAGTGCCAGATGCCAAGGGGTCGGCGTGAACGAGGATCCAGGCAGAGGGCCCAGTTGAGCTCGAGCAGGCAGCAGCTACATTGTGTGAGGCGGACCCGGCCCCCGCCCCTGGAGGAGCGTGGGTGGTCCTGGACACAGGGAGGACTGTGTTTGAAGCAAGATGTCTGCTTCGTTCTTCAAGCCTCCGTGGTGGCTGTGGGCACCTGACTGACAGAAGGGCTTGCCCCCTCTGCTAGAAGGAGGGCGTCGTGTCCAAGACCCCACCTGGAATGGCTGGGATGTGATTGCACAGTCACACACCAACCCGATTCCGGGTTTTCTTCTCTTAGGAGCTGCTTTCAACAACGTTCCGCAGTCCTTTCCAAAGCCCCTGTTTTTATGCAGGTCATTGGGCACCTTTAGGTGTTCATTCTTATCTCCTTTCTGGCCGCGTCTTCATTGACTAGTCAGCTGGAGAGCCGAGATCGAATCCCACCTAAGCAGACGGTGGCTGCAAGTCCGGACTCTGAGGCAGCATATGTAGAGATCATCCCCGGCGGAGACATGCGGGGGGATGACCCTGGCAACCTCCTGGGCCAACCCTCCCATCTGACGGAGGAGCAGGCCCGCCAGTATGTTCCCGCATTAGCGTTCCGTTCAGGGGGGTCTGTATTCACCCGCTGAAACCCTCCTGTGCGCTGCCCTCATAAAAGTGTTGACAGAGTTTGACTCCTTCATGCGCAGTACAACCCATGACTCATTTGTTATGGGCCTATAATCAATTCTCAACTTGTTAGGCAGAGAAACAAACAACTCATTTGTTTTATGATGTGTGAACAGAAGGGAGCTTGAGCATCTAAGTGTTTTTCCATTGGTGGTCCCTCCACCTCCACTGGCTGCCCTGGCCTGCAGGGGAGGCCCCCTAAGGGGAGAGGCTTGGAGCGGGCAGGGAGCTCATTGGGGAGGAAGCAGGCCCAAGGTCTGCCCGGAGGAGGGGGCACTAAGGTTCCAGTCTGAAGGCCTGTCCTGGCGCAGGGTCCTCTGAGTCTCCGCCCGGTGCCGAGGGTGGCACCAAAGTGCTCAGCTGATGAATCGGACCCGGGGCTTGGGCTGGGGCCAGTGCTTCCTGGACCTGTGACTGCTTCCCCTGGGTGGTGTGTCCCGAGCCCCTTGCACTGCCTGTGGGCCCCTCCTCAGAATCACTTCTTTAAATGCAAAAGATGAAACAGATGGGATGACAAAGGAAACCAGTTATGTTGAAATATGGTGATCCAAACGTTAGCTTGGTTTGTGGCCCCTCACAGAGCCACCAGCTGTCTTGACTGACCAGCCTGCCCTGGCTTAGTTGGCCTCTGGACCAGGCCCTTTCTGAGCGTTGGCTTCCTCTTCTGAAGGAGGGGCATGATAAGGGCACTCTCGCCTCCTCCCTGGCTCTGACAGTCTGAGAGTCCAGGATTTTTTTCCAAACTTCTTTCTAATGCAGTTGTTTTCTTGAACATTCTCCATGCGAGCATGCCCTCAGGGAAGCTACAACCCAGTCCTAGCCACCGTTGCCGGGCACCCCTCAGTTACTGCCACCCACTGAAATCTCAGACTGCAAAGTGTTGACTCAGTTTGCTTGCGAAGAAAATCTTACCCACTTTCACATACCAGAAATCTGAAATTTCAAGGAGCAAAAGGCTTTTTTTTTCTTTTCTAGAACTTTGTTATTTCATTTTTTCATTTGTAAAAAAAGAACAAAATGTTTTCTGAAAATGTTGCCTTAATGCAAAAGGAGCAGGCTTGTGGCCCGAGCTGTACGGACTTAGGCCTGGCCATGCTGGGAGCACGGGTGGTAGAGGAGAGGGCAGCCTAGGAGTCCAAAGGCCTCGGTTCAAAAACTGGTTTTTGCAAAAGTCCTGGGTCCTGGCCCTGCTCTGCCTCGTCATCTGTGTGTTACCTTGGCTGTTCCCCACTCGATGCAATCGATTGAGAGCCAGAAGGAGTCATAGAGATCCTCCCTGTAAAGGTGGAGAGGCAGAGACCCAGACTCAAAGTCACACCTGGAATATGGGACTAAGGGGAAGATGAGAGCCAGGCTCAGCATCCCCCAGGCTTCTTCACTGGATCCTCAGAGGGCCTGTTCTCTGGTCCTTCACCATCTTGGTCATGCTGTGCTGAATGTGTTCTCATCCATCCGCATCTTTCCTGTGGCGTGAATGGAGTGGCACCTTTTAGACAGGGCTCCGCTGGGGCAGCCCTACTCCATGCAGCTGAGCAGTATTCCCTCTTTGGCAGACCCATAGTGACCTAGTGGTCCATGAAGAACCCTGGGCTGTGTCCTCAGGAGCTATTGTTTATCGTTCATATCACCCCCTCCCCCTTCTCGTCCTTGCCAAGTGGATGTCTTATTCCAGCCTGTCCAAATCTTTGTATGTCTAGGATTTTCCATCACATGATGTATGTTATCCCATCCCTCTTTGCTTATCTGCCTGTTTGGCAAGCCAGCCACATCTGCTTTCATCCAGGCCAATAATGACAGAAGTAGCAGAAACAGAGCAGAACTCCCAGAACAGGTCATGGGCTGCCCTAAGGTCCTCCAGGCCTAGGAGGTTGAGCCTGAGTGGTTGTGGGTCTTCCCCATCTAGGCTGATTCTCACCAATTCTTTTGTTGTTGCCATACTTGAAAATGTGCTTTGTCTGGGTGGTAACCTCCCTGGGGGTGGGAGTGAGGGTCGGGGGGAGGATGATGAAGCCTTGAAGCCCTCAGCCTCTTTTGGTAGCACCTAGGGTTAGGTTAGGAATGAGGAACCTCAGAAGGGCTTGGGCAGAACTTTTCAACTATCATCTTCAGCTCCAGATACTGAGAATTCAGGCCTCCACCTCCATCCTCTTGGGCTTAGAGTAAACCCAACTGGAAATGTATTCATGGAATCTCCTCCATCTTATCCTCATCATAGCCAATGGGAGTTCAGCCTGAAATTAGGAAATGGTTAGTTAGTTTCCACATCATTTTTCAGTTGTTGAATTTCATTAAAATGTCCACTTATGTATTATATACGGTCCCTGTCCTATGGACAGCACCAGGCATCAGATTCCCAGAAAAGACTCAAAACTGTTTCCATTTTGCGTTTAAAGTTTCAACATTCCTGGAATGATTTTTAACAATAAGTTGTTCTATCTGTCTGTTTGGTTAGGTGTACGAATTGGATGGCATTCCCCTGATTCTGGACAACTGCAGCATGGATGACAACAATCCCTGTATCCTTATTGGCTGAGGGGGAGGCCCATCTGTGGTTCTCCCTTGGTGGGTGGGTCATGACTCAGGTATGCGCTGCCCATTTGTGATTTCTGTACATGGCTGATCTCCCCTGCTAAGTAGATCCTTGTTTATTACAGTCTCAGGAAATGTGTATTACCCGAATAAGTGAAAAATGGCCACCCTCCTGCCATTCCATAGGATCATAGATTTTGATTGAATCTTAGAGAAAAATTTAGTAAGATTCACTGTTTTATAGATGGGAAAATAGGAGGTGAGTGGCTTGCCCAGGTTCACACAGATAGAAAGGGGCAGAGCCAGGATCTGAACCCAGGTCCTTGGTCCCCAAAACCAGTGCATTCTACCACATGATAGGTCCTTTACTAAAGTACCCAAGGCTCAGGACTTTTAGCCAGCCTTCTGGTAGTGAGGCCTAAGTGTCAGACCTCAAGTTTCTGTCTAGGTCTATACTTTTGTGAATTCCTAAGGCCTTCTTCCCAGAGCCTGCTTTCTGTGCCAACGGAGACTTGAGAACTCTGGGGCATCTTTGGAGGTGGCAGAGGAAGATGCCAGTGGACATTCCTTGGTTAGCATTCCTTCTTCCATGTGTGGTAAAGTCTGTGAAACGAAGGGGCCCAAAACACTCCAGAGCCAGGTCCTCTCACAGGTAGGGGATTTTAGGGTTGGCCGGTGGGTGTGGAGACGAATTTGGGGCTCCTTCAGGAGTGCTTGGCCCTGCTGCTATTGCCAGCGATGATCCCAAGGCCTCAAAGCACGTGGCAGCCAAATCCACCCCCACCACTCAGTTCCTGGGGGCTCAGTCGGGGTGGGGCTTGTACACGGGTGAGCCCCGTGAGCATCTTGCGGGGTGTCTGTGTGGAGGACGAGATGGGGCAAGGGCAGTGCTGTTTGTAACCTGCCCGTGGAGGGGGCGGCCAGCCGCAGCAGGAGGCAAAGCTGCCCCTTCCACCAGGTGACAGATTGCTCACTTGCCAGCCTGGCCTCCAGATGCAGGAGGAACGAGAGAGGCTCTGTTGCCGTGGGAACCTTCCAAACCCACCATCACGGGGCGATTTCTTATTTGCCAGTTTTATTGTGGCGAGCGGGTTCCGGGCTGTTGTTTCCAGACAGAAACCAGCTGGACTTTATTTGGAATGCTTATCCTTTTTTCCTTTCCTTTTTAATCTCCTTTTTGATCAGTGGGCCTTGATGTGGGTTTGATGTTTTGCTTTGTTTGGTGAATGAGTATGAGAACAGAAAAGAGGGTGGTTTTTCCTTTTCCTTTTTTTTTTTTTGGTGGGGGGGATGAAAGGCAACATTTACCAGAGGAGAGATTGACTTGATAGCACGGCCTGTAAGCAAGTTAACCCTTTACTAATCTGTCGGTTCTCTGAGCATTTGTTAATCAGTCAGTCGATACAGAAGCATGTACTGAACCTCTTTGCTGTGCCCAGCACTGTGCACAAACTGCCCCTGCCTCTGGCTCTGCCTTTAGCCTCACCCCGTGGTGAGAGGGCCTGAGCAGTTGAGGAGAAGGCTTCATGCACAAGATGATGTCCCAGCTGCATCTTAAAGGAAAAGCGGAAGTGAGGGAGGTGTGGGTTCCCGACGTGGGGGTGGTCATGGGGTGCAAAATGACGAGAAAGCCAATTTTGATGTATCCGAGTTGGGAAGGGGGGTGATGTCCACTGAGGCTGGAAAGGCAGACAAACCAGGGGAGTGATTTGGTCAGATCCACAGGGAATGGTCTGGGATGGAAGCAGAGGTAGCGTAATCGAGGGGAGAGGCATTGCGGGCCCCAAAGCCCTGGTGACTGAGGTTAGGAGAAGGGCGTGGGTACCGGCAGTGCTATGACAAGTGGTAAGCTAGGAGGACTGATTGGATTTGGGGGCCGAGAGAGAGTGAGGGGTTGAAGTGGTGTCTCGGACAGAAATCAGCAAGTGTGGAAGAGGAAAAGGCGTTTGGACGGGTGGAGTCTATGTCTCTGAGGCGCCCGAGTGGGAAAGGCTTCCAGTGGGGATGAAGGGCTGGGCCCGGGGTCCCCTCCATCACGGGAAGTTGAATGTTTTCTATAGTGGTGACAGTGCCTTAAATTGGCTCAGAGGCCCCCTGGGGCCTGGGCTCCGCGTCAACAGAGGAGGCAGGCAAGTCAGAGCACCTCAGGCCAGGGGATTGAGTTTTCTGTGCTCTTTGGACAGAAGAGAAACTTAGTCCTCCACCCCCGCTTCAGGGAGCTGCCCTTCCAATTAACTACATCTGTGAACATGGCGTGGTTCTGCAGCAGCTCGTCCAAGGGTGACTGGGCCATCAACACAGGCCCGGAAGCCTGCTCCTGGCCCTCTGTACCTTCCGGGACCATCCACCTGTTAGACAACAGCTGTAACAAGCGGGGGAATTGTCTTAAGGGGAAACCAGGCATGTACACTTGGCTGCCAGCAGCAGCCAAACCAAGACAGATCAGGTACAACTATTGTTAAACAGCTCGGGATTATGTAACTGGACGGGCTTGATGTGGTTTGGAGAACCTGGCTGAGGAATTCTCCCCTGAGTGAAGCTGTTAACGGCCTGAACGATTGCATCCTGTCCTCTCGTCGTGGCCTCAGAAAGTCACTCCGTGGGTCGGGGCGCTGCATTGGGACGACCCTGAAGGTGGCAGAGGGCCCTGGAGATGTCACGTGGCAGGCCTCGGGGGAGGGCTCTGGAGCTGTCTCGGCTGGGGGGCCGGAGGCTGCTGCCCTCCTGTGTCTGAGGGGCCTCCCTCCTGTGGCAGGGCCTCGGACGCTTGCTAGCTGGGTGACCCTGGGCAGTCAGCTCACGTCTGTGTGCCTCAGCTCCTTCGTCTGTACCATGGAAATAACAGCAGCCCCAATCTTGTAGGGCTGTGGTGAGCATCTGGTGGGAGGTCTGTAAAGCGCTCACAGTTACTGCTTGTCTTGTTTTATTACTGAGCCCCAGAGGACAGGGAGGACTAAGGGGAGAGGGACGGAGTCAGGGGCCTTCCCTCGTGGCTGTGGAGCAGCAGGGGGCTTCCACGCCCCTCCTGCGCAGCTCCCCTCTTTGCAGAGGATGGCTGCATCCAGCCCTGCAGCACACGAGTGCTTCATTACCGGCAAAGACTCGCTTCCCCTCAAAGCCATCTCGAGCAGACGCTGGGTGACCCCCGGACACCTGCCTGGGGATTTCAGCTCAGCCACGGGTGGGACAAGGTGGCCTCATTTCTGACGTCTTTGGCAACAGCCCTGCCCCAAGGCCCCTGGGAGGCCCTTAAAGGCTGGGTCGGAGAGTTTCCTCCACATTGGAAAGGCCTCGGATGTGCTCCTGATGACAGGCCGCATCTGCTTCCCCAGGCCAGGCCTGAGAGGCTCATGGCCCTTCCTGGGACCCTCCTGCCCCAGGGATCCTTGCATCCCGAACACCCGCAGCCGCTGGGCAGCAGATGAGAGAGTGAAGCCCTCAGAGGACTCCAGACGAGGCGATGTCTGGTGACCCTCAGTGACAGTGAGAGGACTGGGAGAAATGCAGTGGAAGGTGGCGCTGGTAGGTGACTCAGATGCCAGAAGTACTCAGTTAAGCAGGCAAGCATTTGTTAAATGCCTACTGTGTGCCGGGTGCTGTGCCAGGTACTGGACACACAAGTACAAAGAATGAAACAATCCCTACTCACCGGGAGTTGGCATTTTGACTGAGAAATACATGTGTCTGTAAAATAAATAGAAAGTATCAGAAATGTGGCCGTTTGAGAAGGAAGGTGCTGGCTGCTGGGGGAGATGAGAAAGGCTTCCTGGAGGAGGCGCTGCTTGCCCGGCATCTTGGAAGAAGGGAGACTGAGGCCAGTTAGGCTGGACCACAAAGGGCAGGGCAGAGAGTGAGGTGCAGTGAAGCCTTTAAAAAAAGTAAGAAAGATAACCACGTCCGTTACATTTAGACCTATGCAGTTGGTGGTGTCTCTGGAGTGACACAGGCCTACAAGATGGGGACAAGCCTGGGGCTGGCGGTCCAGATCCGGAGCTGTCAGCAGAGAGACGATCACTGAACTCCTGGGAGCCGATGGGGTTACCAAGAGAAAGACTATGGGGGAGAAGAGAAGAGGGCCCACTTGGGGAACATTGAAAGCTGGGGGCCACGATAGGGGTGAGGAGGCAGCCAAGCAGATGTTTTTTAGAATGTAAGATATTATTGAAGGGCGATGGGAGAGGGAGAGCAATGTTGCCTCATGTATAAAACCAAAAAAGAGTGGTGGATGGGATCCCTCGACGTCATCGATGCACAGCCAGCAGAGAAGATGTGCTCAACTGTTTCTTCATCACTAACAGTGGAACCAGCCCACGTGGGGCTCCGTGAAGAAGTGGAAAGGATGTTAACGCCATAGACCAGGCCCCACACGTGTAGAAGAGTCGGTGGTGGCGGTGATGTCAAGAGCTCCATTCTCACTGTGTGTCTGAGACAGAGCGCTCGCTAGCGCCTGAATGATTGGAAATACAGCCGGCCTGATGACCTAGAAAGTAACGGGAGAACATGAACCCAAATCACAAGGGATGGCCCTGCAGGAGGGGCCCACCTGGGTGCGATCCTCCGGGGGGGGGGGCAGCCCCCCACCCCCAGTCCTGCAGCTGTCATCCACCACCCACCCAACAGACTGTTCTTGCTTACTCCTGAGAGACAAAACATTCTGGGTCCGATTTTCCAAGGCTTAAGAGGTTGTTAAAGTATAAAAACAACTCTCATTTGTGTGGTGCTTTAGATGTGATTATTAAGAACTTTACTCACAGCAGCTGGGGTGGGGTCGATTTTTTTTTTTTTTTTGGTCAGTCGTGTCTGACTCCCTGTGACCCCATCTGGGGTTTTCTTGGCAAAGATACTGGAGTGGGGGGCCATGTCCTTCTCCAGCTCATTTTACAGATGAGGAAACTGAGGCAAACAGGGTGAAGTGACTTGCCCAGAGTCATGCAGCTAGAAAGTGTCTGAGGATGGATTTGAACACAAGTCCCTCTGACTCCTGGCC